AATGATGTAATCAATCTGACTCAGAAGTTTATGAAGATGAAACTGCTAACTTTCATGGGTGGCATTGAACCCTTAAGGGCAGAAACCTGGTTACTCGAAATAGAGAAACTATTTGAAGTATTTCCTTGCTCCGAAACACAAAAAGTTCTTTTGCCCACCTACACATTAAAAGATAAAGCTCATAGATGGTGGTTACTGATCCGAACTAATAGTGGGAACATGACGTGGACTCAGTTTAATGAGATTTTCTACAACAAGTATTTTTCCCAATGCTTTAGGGATTGGAAAGTGTCAGAATTTCAAGAACTTAAGCAAGGCAGAATGTCCGTAGCCGAGTACAAATCTAAATTCACTGAGTTGGCTTGGTTTGTTCCACATATGGTGGATACTAATTACAAGAAGGCACAAAAATTCGAATGCAGTTTGGATTTGGAAGTGTTTGACCGAGTTGGCGTCTTGAAATTGCCGACATATGTAAAAGTCCTTGATAGAGCATTGATGGCAGAGGCCATTTTGGTAGCAAAGAAACAAGCTCTAGCTCCAACAACTGAATGGAAGGGTAAACGATCCGGATTCAATTTCAAGAAGGGTCAGTCATTTTCAAAAAGGCAGAATACGGGATCCTCCAGCAGCTCTGGCTAGAGTAGTGGCTCTATTCCAACCTGTCCCGATTGTAGAAGAAAACATAAAGGCACGTGTTATCGTAACTCAGGTGCATGTTTTCGGTGTGGCAAGACTGGCCACATGATTAGAGATTGTCCGCTGAGATTAAACAATGCTAACTGTTATGCAGTGAGTTCAGCCGGATCTGCTCCTGTAACGAGGAACAATGCAAGAACTAATGCCAAGGGTAATACCGAGAGTGAAACGCTAAGGCAAGGGAGGGTGTTTGCGTGAGTGCCTGGAGATGTACAAAACATCGAATCTGTGGTGTCAGGTATAATTTCTATATGTGCTTAAAATGCATATGTCTTGATAGATTCTGGTTCTATACACTCTTTTGTGTTGTATGTTTTTTCACGAAAATTGACTCGACCATTACAACCTATGAATTATTTACTATCTGTGACTACGCCTTCTGGACGTCCTATGGTATGTGTTTATGTTTATCCGACATGTGAAGTTGTGATTGGAGATGTGACATTATATGTTGATTTGTTACCATTGGGTATTGATCATTTTGACTGCATACTTGGTATGGATTGGTTAACAAAATACTATGCCCCCATTGATTGTGTGAGTAAATCTGTTGTGTTTAGACCACCTGGTATGCCTGAGTTTGTTTTTACTGGAAACAGGGTGGCTTCTCCGCCATACTTGATTTCATTTATGAAAGCCAGGAAATTGTTAAGAAAAGGGGATCGGGGCTACTTGTGTTGTGTGTTGACTAAGTTTTCTGATACTGCTACTGTTAAAACGATTCCTGTAGTCTGTGAATTTTCTGATGTATTTCTTACTGACCTACCTGGGGAGTTAATTAATAGGGAAATTGAGTTTACCATTGATGTAGAACCCAGGACACAAACAATTTCTAAGACCCTTTATAGAATGTCAACTTATGAATTGAAAGAATTAAAAGTCCAACTTCAAGAATTGTTAGAAAAGAAGTTTATCCGCCCGAGCACTTCACCTTGGGGTGCTCCAGTTTTGTTTGTGAAAAAGAAAGATGGGTCCTTGAGGTTATGTATAGATTACCAGGAATTTAATAAGGTAACTATAAAGAACAAATATCCATTGCCCAGGATCGATGATTTGTTTGATCAATTGCAAGGTGCACATGTCTTTTATAAGATAGATTTGCGGTCTGGGTATCATCAACTGAAAGTTAAAGTTGAGGATGTCGAGAAAACTACCTTCCGAACTCGTGATGGACATTATGACTTTTTAGTTATGCCGTTTGGGGTCACTAATGCACCCGCAGACTTTATGGATTTGATGAACAGAGTTTTTAAACCCTACCTGGACGATTTTGTGGTTGTATTTATTGATGACATCCTTATTTACTCAGCAAGTGTGGAGGCTCGTGAGAACCATCTACAGGTAATTCATCAAACTCTTCGAGATAAGAAACTATATGCGAAATTAAAGAAATGTGAATTTCGAAGTAAGCTTTTTGGGACATGTAGTGGCAAAAGAGGGTGTTGTTGTTGACTCGCATAAGATTGAAGCTATTGTGAATTGGCCAACGCCTACCAATGTGTCAGAAGTGCGTAGTTTCTTGGGTTTAGCCAGATACTACCGACTGTTTGTTCAAGACTTTTCCAAAATTGTGGTGCCGCTTACTCAGTTAACCCAGAAAGGTGTATTATTTGAGTGGTCGGAGCAACGGGAATTTGCCTTTCAGGAATTGAAGACAAGATTAACTACAACACCTGTTCTGGCCTTGCCATCTGGTAATGAAGGATTTGAGATTTATAGTGACGCTTCCCACAATGGTTTGGGTTGTGTACTTATGCAAAATGGGAGGGTTATTGCATACGCCTCTCGTCAACTTAAACCCCATGAAAAGAACTAACCCACACACAACCTTGAGCTAGCTACAGTGGTCTTTACTTTGAAAATATGGCGTCACTATCTATATGGGGCTAGATGTGAGGTTTATACTGATCATAAGAGTCTTAAGTACTTTTTCACTCAAAAAGAGCTGAACATACGACAAAGATGGTGGTTAGAGCTTATTAAAGACTATGACCTACAAATTCATTACCACCCCGGTAAAGGTAATACGGTTGCAAATGCCCTTAGTTGAAAAGGTACAGGGAATTTAGCGAGTTTACTTACAAGGCAGAAAGAGCTATTACATGATTTGGAAAGAATGAATATGGAAATTATGTTTCATGGCCATGATGCGGTACTGGCAATAGTGTCAGTTCAACCAATACTTCTGGAGGAAATTAAGCAACGACAACTGGAAGATGAATTTCTACAGAAAATTTATGGCGAAATGGAAACGAAACCAAGGCCTGGGTTCATAATTGAAAATTCGATGGTAAAATTCCAGGGTAGGTGGTGTGTCCCCAATGTACCAGAAGTCAAGAAGAGAATCATAGAGAAATCGCATAGCTCCAAATTTGCAATGCATCCGGGTAACACAAAAATGTACCATGATCTGAAGTAGAATTTTTGGTGGCCGGGAATGAAGAAGGAAATTGCAGAATTTGTCTCAAAATGTTTGCACTGTCAACAGGTGAAAGCAGAGCACCAACGACCGGCGGGCTTACTACAACCCCTCCCAATTCCAGAATGGAAATGGTTCCAACTCGCGTTCCCAAGTGGCTTCCTCCACTCCGTGATGTTTCCACAAAACCTTTACCAAGGGAATGGTCTTGCCTCGCAAGACTTGGTCCCGCCTATCCAAGACCCGCACCGGTCTCTCCTCATACGAGGCATCCTCATCTACCTCCAAGTCGATCCAATCTAACACATGGGATGGATCCGACTCGTACTTCCGAAGCATACTAACATGAAAGACGTCATGAACCCCGGACAACTGTGGTGGCAAAGCCAAACGATAAGCAACTTCCCCAATCCTCTCAAGGATCTCAAAGGGACCGATAAATCGAGGGGATAACTTCCCATTCTTCCCAACCCTCATCAAACCTCGCCTAGGTGATATTTTTAAGAAAACATGATCACCTACCTCAAACGCCAAAGGCCTCCTCCTACGGTCGGCATAGCTCTTTTGGCGACTCTGGGCTATAACAAGCCTCCTACGGATAAGCTCAACTTTCTCCGTCGTCTCCCTAACCAACTCCGGACCCAACAAAGGTGCATCACCCACCTCGGCCCAACAAACTGGAGACCTAAACGGCCAGCCATGCAAGGCCTCGAACGGTGCCATACCGATGCTGGACTGAAAACTGTTGTTGTAGGCAAACTCTACCAATGGCAAGTGCCTCTCCCATGTCCCACTGAAGTCCAAGACATAACCTCGAAGCATATCCTCAAGGATCTGAATAGTACGCTCAGACTGCCCGTCAGTCTGAGGATGATAGGCCGTACTAAAGGTCAACTTAGTGCCCAAGGCACTCTGTAAACTCTGCCACAACCTAGCAGTAAAACGAGGATCTCTATCTGAGACAATCGTCACTGGGACCTCGTGCAACCTCACAATGTCCCGAATGTACAAGTCGGCAAGATGATCTACCGAATCTCTCACGCGCATGGGAATAAAGTGCGCCGACTTAGTCAACCGGTCTACAACCATCCAAATAGCATCACTACCCCGCTGAGTTCTCGGAAGACCCACAACGAAGTCCATAGTGATATGCTCCCACTTTCACTCGGCAATAGGCAAGGGTTGCAACAAACCCGTTGGCCTCTGATGCTCGGCTTCACTTGCTGACAAGTAAGGCACTTCGACACGAAAACTGCCACATCTCTCTTCATACCCCGCCACCAAAACTGGTGACCCAAGTCACGATACATCTTAGTGCCTCCCGGATGCACCGCAAGGCGTGAATGGTGAAACTCTCGGAGTACTTTCTCTCGGCAAGACTCCGGCACAAACAAACGGTCTCGGTATCTCATACTCAGGTCGGGATACACCGTCAAACCCTTCTCAACCTTCCCACTGGAGATCTTCTCTCGGAGGGATTCTACCTTTAGGTCACCTTTCTGTGCCTCTAACACTCGAGTCACAAGTGTAGGCTGTGCAACAACCGAAAACAAGGCCGTAGCCTCAACTAATCCACCTAGAAGCAAATCGAACTCGCCCAGTGCACCCAACATTTCCCATTCCCGGATGGCTATACAAGCTACATCACTAATGGATTTCCTACTAAGGGCATCGGCCACAACATTGGCCTTTCCCGGGTGATAATGCAACTCAAAGTCATAATCCTCAATGAACTCCATCCACCTCCTCTGCCTCAAATTTAAGTCTTTCTGTGTAAACAGATATTTCAAACTTTAATGGTCCGAGAACACCTCGAACCTCTCACCATAAAGGTAGTGCCTCCAAATCTTCAAGGCAAAAATCACTGCGGCTAACTCTAAGTCGTGCGTAGGGTAATTCTTCTCGTGTACTTTCAACTGACGTGAGCCATAAGCTACCACTTTCCCCTCTTGCATCAACACACAACCCAAACCCTCTCGTGAGGCATCACAATAAACTGCATAACCCAACCCTCTCTCCGGAATAATCAAAATCGGAGCGGTGGTCAATCTAACCTTCAACTCCTGGAACGACTTTTCACAAGTCTCACTCCACACAAACTTGATCCCCTTCCGGGTGAATCTAGTCAACGGCGAAGCTAACTTGGAGAAATCCTTCACAAACCGACGGTAATACCCAGCTAATCCCAGAAAACTGTGGACTTCAAACACACTCTTAGGCTGTGTCCAATCTTGCACTGCCTCTACCTTGGATGTATCAACTGACACCCCTTCCCCAGATACCACATGGCCTAAGAACTTGACTTCTTCCAGCCAGAACTCACACTTCCCAAATTTGGCATACAGCCTATCGGCTCTAAGCAACTCAAGTGTTCCTCGTGCTCCTCCTCAGATGGCGAATAAACCAGAATGTCGTCCACGAAAACGACCACGAAGCGATCTAAGAATTCCCGGAAGATCCGGTTCATCAAGTCCATAAAGACTGCCGGTGCATTGGTAAGCCCAAATGGCATCACCAGAAACTC